CAGTACGCCTACAATCATTCTCAGGTTGACGCTCTAGGTTAGAAAATCATCGAAGAGTTCATTTGCTAACCTCCTCCTATCAGCTATATCCTCAAATCTGAACGGTAACACGCCCATGTCGTTGTATCGTAGAATATAGATGACTGACAAACACACAACGTATCTGATCAACCAAGCGTAGAAACAGAGTAATTTACACCAAAGATAATAGCATTCAAATGGTAAATTTGAACTTGAAAAACCTTTACTCATGCAGGTCAATTTAACAATTACCCTCTCGTACACACCTGGCTCATCCTCGCTAAACTGAGCAATACCTTTCGTCTTTTCAAACGCACCAATACTATCATAGTCATTGCACAAGATACTTGAGTTGATGGGCGTCCTTCTCATTGTGGATGGCAACACCAACGACGACTGACTGATACCAGTTGATGAACTTAGCGGTGGATCAGAATCCGTTGTTGTTCGGCTTTCAGATAGTTGTCTAACTGCAAGATTACCACCACTGCTGTCTTTTACTATTAGCTCCGGTTTAGCACTATCATCTGATGATAGGTGGGCTACACGCTGATCAATTACACTGACGGTCTCACAAGTATCCATAGCTTCTGCAACTGCATCTGCGTTTAATTCTACATCACATTCAAGTTGTACAGAACCTTTGTTCAACTCAGCAGTAGTAGGCATTCCCCTCATTTCATCATGATCAACCAAAGACAAATGTGCACTGTCATGATCATTATCACGAATATTCACTTTACCGTCAATTTCATCATTTTCAAACCCTTTAACAACAGAAGTAGACAATTTTGGTTCCTCTTCACAAATCCTTGGAGGCTTTATACCTTCACCCTAACTAGTAATACCTTGTAAACTTGTGGAGTCAGAACTGGACTCTGAAACTGTAACTCTCTTCTGTGGCATACTATTCAACAATAGCTTACCAGTTGCAACTACAGGCTTCCTGACCAAACCGTTATCGTTACACAATTCGGGGTCAGACCTGGATTTCACATTTAGCTTATCACTAAACTTGCTGACTGATTCACAGTTCATCTTTGTATGCACTTCTTGCAAACGTGTAAAACACAACCATGTTTGTCTTGCAGCTTGTGACTTGGCTGTTGAGGATGTACCACGAAAGCTGTTACATTCACTAGGTCTATATGCATTACTTGACACCATCCAGCGTTCTCGATATCCACCTCTCTGAGACCCTATCGTCATCAATGATTGCGTTTTGCTCTCAGACTGCTCTATTCTAGGGGTGAGATGAAATAGACTGGCAAACTTGCTCATTGATTCATTGACACTACCGTTTACCAGTTTCAGAATATCGTCGAACTTTGGCTTGATACCTTCATCCTGTATACGAGAGCTTATCTTCACCCACTTCCCTTGCAGTCGAGTAGGTAGGCGTCTCGCTATTACTTCTAGGACGGAACTCGAGTTGAGGTCACTCATGCAATTCATCGAAATCAATGCATTCTTGTAAGCCAACAGATTATCCAAAAACTCATTGAGTGCCTTGGAGTCATCGTGTAGTTGACTGGCGTTACCTTTGACAGCTTCGAATACGTTGCTTACAATCATCGAGGGTCTTCCAAACCTTTGACGTAATATGCTCATAGCCTCTTCGTAGCCCTCTTTTGGCTTCATAAACTTACAGCACTGTATAGCTCTTGCAGCAATTCCAGTGCAGTACCTCACCAAGTACATCAACTTCATCTCATCATTTAATAAAAAACCACTCAACGTGATCTCAAACTCCTTTACAAACTGTAAATAATCAACTGGGTTTCCGTCCAAACACCGTGGTTCAAACTTAGGGAGTTTGATGTTCCTTTTATCCCTGAACGGCGAAACAGTAACATCAACCATGTCATACTTAACATCAGACACATCGTTACATGTAACAGACAAGTCACCATGACTTACTTTTCTGTTTGCATCCAAGACACTCTGTCCCTTCTTTGACCCAGGCATTGTTGAACTTGACCCAATTTCAAAATTGTTCCAGATATTGCTTGTTCAAAGAGGACTTGACCGGCACCAGGAAAAACGAACGGCGACTATCCAAACTGTCACCAACTGTCCGAAACCGTCACAAACTGACGCCGTACTGTCAGAAACTGTCAGCTACGTCTCGTAAACCGTCAATGCCCAGCTCTTGCTACGCTGGGACTCACGCTGTTCCTCGAAGCTTCTCAGAAACGCTTAGTAATAACGGACGCGAAAACCAAAACACAGATTGGCGACTCGAGAATTATTTATTCTAACACCAACATATGGCCAATATACTACTAAGCTTTACAGCTAAGGTCTATGAACAAATATTACAATAATAAATCACCATATTACTTCTGACGGTTTTCTCCTGACTTCTTTCTGAACAGCGACCGATGAGACGATGACTGTCGTATTGATGCCTCCGCGAAAATTGGGGAAGTTGATTTTGAGCAAACAACCGTGAATTGATCGTTCAATCTTCAACTACATTGACATTGGTAAAACATTATTAAGGTTGAGGTATTTTTTATACGTTGAATCTACGTAAACCTTATTTCACTGCACCAATTATTGCAAATATAAAGTTTGTCGAGAGGTGCAGCGCCTACATATAGTAGACTATTTGTGTATGTCATTACCCTCCAGCTGTTCCATCTGGCTTATTATAGCGATGTTTTGACACAGTCCGCTTGAAACACTTGACTCACTATGAGTGTATTAAATATTATACTTTAGACTTAAACCAAAACCTTATATTCTATTCTTGTAAAGTTTTCTATTCATTTTCTAAATTTTAACTTCATAAAAGTGTTCAATTTCAGACTGCACTTGTCTAATATGATCATGCCTGTACAAACGGTATGTGAATCATGTAAATGCTTAATTTATGTGAAATATATATTATTATTATTATTAAACACTAATCATTTCAACCACTATGCTTAGAGTGTGTCGCAGTCAGATCACATGACGCGGACACCAGCATAACAAGTCCGGAAATGAGAAGTGCTACCAATCTGAATAACATATAACACAATTTTATTAAAACTCAGTGACAAAAATTTTTTCAAGTGAAATTTCAACCAACATACAGGTCCAGCCGTCTTTGGCTAACGGCACCTGTCATAAGCATAACCAAAATATCATCGCTATTCACCAACTAAGATGCAAATTTCACCCAGATCACGTTTTTAAGTACTGTTTGGAAAATGTGTTAATAGCTCGTCAGGGTTAAGGTAAATATTGGGTTAGGTTTAGGATCAGGGTCATTATTAGGATTAGGGTTAGGTTTACGGTTAGGACAAGGATTGTAATTCGAGTTAGCCTTAATTCTAAGGTAAAGGTCAGGATCACGGTTAGAGTTACGATTAGGGATAGATTTATAGTTGATGTCATTTATTTTAACTTGTCTTCTTATCCACATTTTCCTGGTAAGTGGTCATCAATCCGCTTACTGGAAACCATTGTAATTCAACCGAGGGCTTAAGGGGAAGAATGCATATGAGGATAAGAGCGATGAAAGATTCACTAAAACAGATCATATTCAGTCACCTCAGTGAATACATGTACAAAAACTAGTCTAACTAAGTGATATTCCTCACTATTGCTGGGGGGTATTTTTAAGCCACGTCAGAGAAAGAAACTCTATTTAATGTGTTTTCATGCATTTTATTGTAAATGTATGCCATGTTTTGTGCAAAAATTCGTCGTTGTTATGATTAGCCGGCTGAAGGGCACGAATTTGCTACGCAGAAGGTGTACAGCATCCACAAGTGCGCCTGTGTGATACGGATTCACTTGATTGGTTGTTCAAAGTCATTTACCCGTTCGCTAGGTAGTGGTGACTCTAGAGAATAGCAGCCCAAACCTAAACGATCTTTTAACGCAAAAATGACCTTGGCAGGGACAACTTCGGCCAATGAGAAGGCTCAAAAAGAAAGGCGCATAATTGTAAAAAACGGTTTATATAAAAGGAATGCAATCATAATAAACTGTTACAAAGAATGGCGTTCGCGTATATGTTGCAAAAAACCTCCCAGTTTCTCATGGGAGTCTTCATAGTCATATGAAGCCAGTTTCGGTACATAAATTCATCCAGGTAACTGTAAATCATGGGATTTCTCGATCCATTAACCGCTCTTATACGTCTTTTTAGACGACTCCAAAAACTTTCAATGGAACTGGTGTGGGTTACATCCAAAGGATTCCGGAAACCGTCCGTATGATTAACAACATGATGAATGTACCCATGATTCGATAATTGACGGTATCCGCTCCATTCATCTGTTTGAATAGTCGTCCCCGGCAACACCAAACGTTTATTAATAGGTACTAATACTGCTGCACTGCGATCGGGAATCGCTTCTATATACCCTTTGCTCAGTATCGTGTCGTAGATACCCAGTATCCACTGCTGGTTTGCTTGCAATCTCCCGCGGTTGTATTTCCTTTTTATAAGTACAGTCTCATCAATATGGACTATGCTGCCGACTCCCCCGAGAACTTGAGTCAGGGTGTTCATTTTCCAGGAGGAAACATCTCTGCAGTAGTTGTGCCATTGCATTGCTGACACCTCTGAACTTTCTGTTTCATAAGCTGTAGCTGTGACTGCTCTTTTCAGGACCCAGAAGTTACAGATCATTAAAATTTTCGTCAAAGGTAGTTTATACTTTGAGAGAAAAGTTCCTAAGGGACCTGTAAACTAAAAAACAACGACAAACCTTCTCGAACCAATTGCCTCCTTCGGCACTCAATACATCTGTATACAAAGCCATCAATGGCCTCTGTGTATTTTTGTATATGCATAACTCCTCCGCATTGGCAAATTTTCGACAAAGCTATCAGTCCGTTATCCAAACAGTAATCGAAAACATCCATGATTGCTTCCGAAAATGATAATCAGCGGATTCCTCGTTCAAGGTCACTTTTTTGTTCGTAGGTCGTTTCGGTTTGGGCCGCTATTCTTTAGAGTCATCTAGGTAGTTTCGGTTTGGGCTGCTATCGTTTAGTCACCCTTGATTTATTCAAGTGGGACAATGTTTCCGACACTTTGGGATGGATAAGTTCAGTCCCCAAGTAGCCAGAAGGTGTTTGAAATTACCGCTATTCTGATGGCTAACTGACCAATCACAAGCAAAACCGTTAGTGGCATGTCACACACGCGGGCACACGAAATATCCGTCGAGAGGCTGTTTCTGTCCTCACCGCACTGACACGCTGTTAGTTATGGACAAGGATTACACCCCATTGTCATCTACGTGCATCAAGAATCTTGTGGATAAGCTTTTTGAGAAACGCAAACTAGCCTCGCAAGAAGTCGAAAGGTAATTTGTAAATCATGAGGTGATTACCTCACACAGGATTATCAAAGAATATATCAGTCAAGATCGACACTCTGATATTTCTAGGATAATCGGATATTTCAGTCAGGATTTTATTCACTCTGCTAGTCCTCATACTCGGAAAGGCGGCTTGCTAGGTTTAGCTTCAGTAGCAATTGGGCTTAACGAGGTAGAACTAATTTACATTCATATTGCTGTCTGTTTAGCATGCATGTCTTTTCCATGGACCGATTATTCTGCCAATTATTCGTACATTCCATGATAACGACCCACGAGTTCGATATTACGCATGTGAAGCCCTTTTCAATGTTATGAAAATAACTCGTAAGGAAACTTTGAATTATTTGAGTGACGTCCTTGATGCCATAAGTAGAGTAAGTATCTATTTATAAATAGAAATAGTCTTTATAAATCCTGTCTTGTGGGTGGGTTTCGTATGCTTTCAGAAAAAAAGCTGTCTTGTACCCACCTCATTTTTGTTTGCGATTGATGCCATTTTTAGGTGTATATGAATTGACTGCTTATGCTGTAACGTGACAAGGGATTTTCCTGACAAAATGCTTTTTATATTTCATTTAGTTTGGAATTAAGAGTGGCAGCTACATCAAACATAGCTAGGTTTGTGCAAACAGGTGGCGTTATATGTCTTCATGCTGTTTGTTTTTCCCAAGCACGCGCATAAATGTCACCGACATGGAATTAATCCAGAGTAACTAGTTGAAGGACGTACTTTCTAGACAGCCAATGTTAGCCGAGATGAGATTAGGTTGAGAAACATTTAGGTGTGGTCAAATCAAAACCTGGCATTAGTCCATGAAATCTTTGACAGTTAGCTTGAGACACGTAGGAAGTTGCAGACTGCGTGATTGGGGTCCTCGGGACTCTAAGAACCAATGGCTAGAGACTAGTAATGATGTGGCACAAAATCTTCCTCAATGACGTGGGTACATGCACTCTATATGATTTCCCATATCCTTTAAACCCTATTGTTTTTCGAGGTTACTACTCTTTCTCACTTTTCTGCTTATTACTGAATTCGTTTTTTCTCTACTTTTCCACCCTTTGATCCTCGAAGCGATGTCCCAGGTTGGACTGCTGAACTTGTTTGGTAAGTGTAATGCTGAAACCGTTAAAACATCTGCGTTGTTATAGAGAAGGCTTTGAGATGTCTTAACTCACTGTTTCTTGACATCCACACAGTCGATGTATGCTTATGTTGTTCAAATCTGTTGATGTCTTCGTGAATAATAGTCATGTTTTAGCCGATTTTCCTTGATAGATTGCCATCACTTTGGCTTAGTCATCAGGTTTACATATTGCAATGAAATGAGCTATAATGGTTGGAGGAAGCTTGTAAGTTGTTCACATGGTGTTAAGGGTCTGAGGTAGAAGTCGTACTAATTGCGGATGAAGGGTGACAGCAGTGATGTGTTTCTCTTGGACGACCAGCCTGGTAGTTATGCCTCTTTTTCGCCTTTGGGCGGAGAGAATAGTAAAAGCCTTGAAAACTGTAGACCCTAACCCCCTACGACATTTCTCAGCAAACAAGTATTTTGTACGAACAAGACACCAAAAGCACCAGCAAACAGACCCTGTGTCGCTGGTAGTTGTCTTCTGACCTCTGCGATCATCCAATACTGATGCTTTCTCTGTTCCAAGTACCCCAAGATGAGATACAGTTCTTTGGCTAAAGCAGTCTACTTCCGGTCAGTGTCCTGGGTTTAAGTCTCGCTCCATCTACTTCAACCTGGGCAACCAGGTGGTATCACTAGCTCTCACACAAAAAGTACCTCATAGCCTAGTACTGGGTGATTGAGTTATAACTAATTAACCCCAACGGAAAGTACCAGCAGTTTACTTCAACTTCCATATTCTTGCTTTCCTTCCACTTTTATTACTACAGCAATGACACTGTGATCCCCAGGGAATTCAACCAGAGAAACATGTTTGTAGTTTTTCGGGGTCATACTGTCAACTTCATATTGTGACTTCCAGTGTCCTGCTCATATTCCAAATAAGACAACTAGTCCCACTGATCAAAAAGCTTAACATCTCGTGTCGCCTAACCAACATGGAGGATCTACAGAATTCTTCTGCTAGTTTCAGCGGGCTCGTCGGTGTGTAGACGTTGTGTGCTAGAGCGAAAACATTACTCGATTAGAAGGTAGGGAGTAGTCCTATATATTCTTTCGGGTCGAATGGGCCTGCAGTAATTAGTGAGGATCTTGATACTCTCCGACACCTCTTCATAGTCTCCACCTACTCATTCTGATAAGGACAGGTTTCTGTAGGAAACTGCTTAGTCCACTGCTCAGATATAGTATTCTCGCCAGGTACTTCCAGCGCTAAAGGAAGGACACTGAGCCGTTCTGATGTCTCATGGTTATCTAGGCAGCCGAAGAACCGACACCTGTAATTGTGTTGTATAATTCCTCTCAAACATAATCTACTGACAGATTCGTAACTGGAGTACGTAGGTGTAAGTATTTAGCTTTCTGGCTGTTACTAGTTTCAAATATTTAGGGACATTACCTGACATAATGGCCTTGGCCATCGAGTCAGCAATGAACACAAATGGATTGCGTATCCGTAATCTAAATGATCAATGAGATATTTAGAGTCACTATTGACAGGGTCCAAATTGTCCTTAGGGATGCAGATGTATGCACTCCTTATGATATTGGATTCTGAAGATACTTTTCTTCCTGTAATTACACTTTCACCCGTAGATTTTCCTTTATTGCAGCTTCATTAAGTTTCGCTTCTGTACTTATGTGTACTTTTATTATCTTTGGTAACCTGAACTAGTAAACTTTTAATAATAATTCAGCTCGAGCAGTTCAGTTATTTTCCAACTTCATATTAACTTAACTCGTCCAAGAGACGGGGACTGGGTAACACGTCCTAAGCGAAAGTAAGTTATTAACTTGAGTTATCACCATTTTTCGGCAAAAGTATGTTACAGGTAAAAACATGCGACTAGTTCTTGGATTAATTAACGGTTGGTCTGAGCCGTTAAGATAGGTCACCGATCAGTATCCTTCGAAATGTTAAGAATAAGTATTTGGTGATTCATAGTGAAACCACTCGGAATAGTTTCCAACGCGTTAGATGGAGTCATTTGTCGTCTTCTAATTCTTTAGAAGCTTGATTTAACTGTTTTTTCCTCTTACCTTATCTGTTATTTTGTAGTGTAGCCAGTTTGATTCGATGAATTTGTGTGCAAAAGTTCAACGTTGACCTAGCTGACTGTAAGGTGTAGCAACCTGAAAACAGACAGACAGCAACCTGAAGCGTTAGCCAGTATTATTAGATTCTATGCTCTTAGAAATTGCATTTCTCGGAAGGATTTTGTGTCGTATTGAATCTGTTGTTATATGTTTGTTCTAAACTGAATCTAGAAGCGTTTGAATGTCAACTTTTTTGTTGAATCTTTTCTTGCAATAGTTACTGATCATTTGATATGAGTACCTTACCAAAAAATATTGAATTCATAGATTGCGAATCACCTACTTGAATGAGTAGGTTGGAGTTCTAATGATAGATTTTATGCCATCCATCATCTGCTCACAGTAAGTAACTTTAGTGATTTCTTCAAATGGTGTTACTCTATTTTCGTTTCTTTCAGGGCGTATCTGACTCTGACTCAACTGTCCGACCTGGAGCGTTGCACTGTGATAGACTTTTAAAAGAGGTCATCGTGGAGACTGATATTTCAGACTTAACAGACGTTGTTGCGTTGCTGAAGGAACGGATATATACAAATAATCCATATACGCGGCAGTTTATTGTTTCATGGGTGAGTCTATTAGTATACTGCATATAAACGGTTGTTTCTGCAGTCCTGTATTGTCATTCTATTGATTAGTCGATCATTTTACAAACTAGTTTTATGGGGATTAGTTTGTAGTTACGTATTCCTCCTGAGAAGGTTATTGTGTTGAGATAAAGGTGATTACACAACGCTGGGTCAGACTATAGTCCATTAGAAAATATTTCTGGTCAGTGGACAAATTGACGTATAGAATGGGACATGTACAGTCATCTCATGAATTTTTCTGTTCTTATTAGATATGGCTGCAAAATCAATGTTATTAAGATTTTCAGAACACTGTTGAACAGTATTACAAAATTTGAAAATTTATTGTGCCTTATCAGTGCAATCGAGTCTCATTGTTTCCTAAAAACCTCGACTAAGCTAACTTTTCCTTCGCCGATACTAATTTCATCCTAAAAATAGTTTTCAATAGTGTACATAGTGTTATAGTTCTTTTAGTTCACTTATTTCTGGAAAACGTGTATATTATTGCTAGTATTACTGTACTGTTACATTTGTTATTATTTGCTATTATTTTCAGATTACCACACTTTATTCAATTCCAGGATTGAGGGTTTGTGTTTATTTACCACAGTTATTAGACGGACTTTTTCGCATACTTGGTGACCCAAATCCAGATATAAGGAGACAGTAAGTCAAGTGGATTAAATGCGTATTTGAGTCATGCTTTCTTCAGAACGTTTCACGAAATTAAGACATTAAGTGTCACACTGAGTCTGTTTAGTCCTGTTCAATGGCTCGTACGTAGATGCCGTAATTAAGGTTTCACTTCCCTATTGTGTACACTGAATTGATTGTTAATCGAGAGAAAAGTCCTTTGACAGCTTTGTGGAAAAACAGCTGTCGTCGTAGTATGAATGGTCTTCTAAGTGGAGGAAAGAGACTAAATAAATCTGCAATAAATAGACGCGTAAAGTTAGTAGAATAATCAGCTGAAGATAAGGGGATGTTGTCAGTCAGGGAAATTATATCTGGTCCGTCCTAAATAATTTCGGAATACTTGAACAAGATTCTAGAGATAGGAAGTGAAGTGGCAGAGCGTGTTGACTACTTCGATTATTTGCTAAGTTTCACCAGCCTCAACGGGCTGACCGCTGACGAAATCCCAGCACGCATACAAAAGGCTCATTTGGCATTTACCAACCTGAATCATCTCCGGTGTGGACTTGATAGCCGACTGTCGACTGAAGCATGTGTGTACTGCTCAGCAGTTCTCTCCATCCTTCTTCATTGTTGTGAGATGTGGTCATCGGAAGTAGAAGAATGAAAAAAGTTAGAGTCTTTGGTCACCTGTGTCTGCGTTCTATCTCCCTTGTGAAATGGTATAACTGAGTGAGTAATATTGAGATTAGGCGTCGAGTGTTAAGTAGTGAGGTGAAATCTGTCGATGAGGTTGTGAGGCTGCATCGATTGAGATGGTCAGGACGTGTTACACATGCCTAGCCATCGCCTTCGTCGACGGGCAGTGTTAGGTGACATAGAATGGATAGGTTGGAAAAGAGCTAATCGTGGTCAGAGTAAAACGTGGAATCAGGCCATGAAATCACTGACAGTTAGTTTGAGACACGTAGGAAGTTGTAGACTGCGTGGTTGGGGTCCTCGGGACTCTAAGAACCAATGGCTAGAGACTAGTAATGATGTGGCACAAAATCTTCCTCAATGACGCAGATACATTCACTCTATATGATTTCCCATATCCCCTATTGCTTTCCGAAGTTACCACTCTTTTTCTCTTACATTTCTGCTTGTTGTCGTTCTTTTGCATATCTGTGTTTCTCTGTAGTCTTCCTTTCTGTGTAACATGGAGTGTGGCAACTCGTACTGCTGTACTTCTATGCAAAGTTCTATGTTGAGAACAGTCACTCAGTCATATAAGATTCTTGAGCAGATAAAAGTATGAGATAAAAAGTACATACAGTCATCAATACGAAAAAACATTTAAACATATACAACTGATAAAATTATCTCATATAAGGAAAGTAAGTGAAAATATCCCGATGCCATGTCCAAGTCACGTCAAACATACGCAGATGTTTGTTCAAGATTTTGAGAACACTATATTTTGTCAGTGGTTGTGCACTCAAAATTGGTGAGGCATTTTAAGATTAGAGATTCCACAATATCGACAGGAGTCACAACCATCAGTGAAATTATACAAAACCGGTGGTCATCCACATCCCAGATGGGCAAGGTGTTGTCATAACTTCCGAAGACAACTTTTCATAGGCTATTTGGCTGTTGCTCAAGTTAGAGATAATTATCTTGAATGTGAGCGTTTGCGTTCTGGACATCCCGTCTGCAGACCAACATTCTATTATTATCACTTTTGGTATTATTCCCTACGTTTCAGAATGGGACATAAGGCTTTGACAGCACAACTCCACCTTTTCCTATTATTCGCCACTTTCTTTAGCTGTGGCTGTGATTGACCGTAGTCCCTCATCTCCCCCACGTCGCCCTTGTACTCCCGAATCCTTGTCCTCTGTTCAGTTTCCACACGAGCAATGGCCTGGCGCGCGATGTCATTCGGCAGTCTCCTCGGCATTTGTCGGATCCGTCTCCATTTTCTTTGAAATATTCTTTGACCGATAGGTTTGTTCGTTGCCAGAGTTTCTTATTGCTTATTCTTCCCGGTCGGCCGACCATTTGGTCCTCAGCATCGGGTTAAGACAGCTGTTGATAAAAGTCGTCAGCTTGCTGTTGAAAATACTTCCCGTGACGAGCTAATTTTCTGACCCATATGGAAAAACTAACTGATTTAATATTAATGTTGAAAATCCGAATTTTGTCTTCTATTCTGAGTCAGAAGATTTCCAGACTGATTTCAGAGTGATGAACGTCTGTCTTGCCTTCCGATTTTGGTTTTGACATCCCCGTCGGTTGCACCCGTAGCTGAAACGATGCTCCCAGATAAGTGAAGGAAGTAACCTCTTTCAAATTTTTTTCTGTTGTTGGTAATATGTGCTGGTTTTTGTCATTGGTTGGTTATTTTCATTACCTCCGTTCACTTGAAGTCCTTTCTTCGTTGCCAGCATCTTCTACCAGTTTGTTGGTTTTTGTAGGTTTTTCGTAGGTCTTCGAGCTTGTGTGAGATTGTACATAAATCACCCTTGAAATCTAGATGTTCTAGAGTCTTCCTATCAGTCCAGCGTATTCCCATCTTCTCTCTCCCCACAGTCTCCCACACAGTCCAGTGCACCAGAACTAGGAATACCGTTGGTGATAGTAGACAGGACTGTCTTCCTCCTGTCTCCACTTCAATTGTTCCTCTGAGCTTTCCGTTATAGATTACCTGACACGCGGGATTGTCATATTCCAGTTGAATGAGGTTGATCAAAGTTTTGGGCACTCCGTAGTGTTGAAATACCTCTCGGTCAACGATGTTGAAAGTCTTTTCAAAGGCGGTGAAGTTGAGGTAGAGGTTTTACTGTCATTCTGTGTTCTGTCGAATGATAATGCATTGGGTTGTTATTTGATCCGCACACGATTAGATTTTTCTGAATTCAGTTAGTTCTGGATGGATTTTCGAGTCCAGAGCTTCTCTTAGTCTCTCCAGGATGACACGACTTAATATTTTGCTAGATGTAGACAAGAGCACAATTCCGTACAGGTTCTTGTAAGGGCCTGAGTCTGCCTTCTTTGGCAGTTCGATGAGGTAGCCTTTCTTTCAGTCAGTAGGTACGTTTCCTGCCTTCCAAACTTTTTGCAACAGTGATGTTAGGATAGCCGCTGTGACTTCTAAATCAGTTTTCAGTGTTTCTGGAGGAATCCCGTTCGGTTCTGCTGCCTTCCCGGACTTCAGTAGCTTCATTGCACTCGAGACTTGTGTTTTCGTTGGAGGATTGGTGTCCACTGGCAGTTCTGTGCCTCCTGGTATTGATATTTCTGGACAGGTTTCAGGTGATAGTCGGTTGACGAGTCTGTTGAAGTGATCAGCCGAATGTTTTGTTTGTCTCTGGTCTCAGACAGTTAGGTTCCATTGATCGTCTTTTATTGGTTCCATCTGAGTTGATTTCCTCCCGGATAATAATCTGGTTATCTGATATAGTGTTCTGAGGTCTCTTACCTGTGGCTTGACCTGTTTTGCTTCAGTTGTCAGTGTGTCGTAGAATTGTCTTTTGTCTCTCCTGCGCTTCTTTATTCAGTGCGATATTCATTGAACTCAGCTTCTCCTTCTGCTGTCCATCTTTGCATTGGTTCATCTTCTGTTTCACCATCCTCCTCTTCTCTGTTAGCTTCCAGGTGTCCGTAGAGCGCCATTCCTTGTCTAGCCTCTTCTTTCTTCCTGAAACGGTTGTACACGCTCCCTTGAGCAGCACTTTCGGACAGTTCCAACGTTCTTCCACACAGGTTTCCTCTCTGATGCTACTTGGTGTCTCGGACTTTACTCTGATGGGTGCAGTGAAGGTGTCATTTGCAGTTTAGTCTTTCTGTTTCTGAGTGTTTTGACTTAAATTTCGGTCTGTCTCCTGTTGTTTTGAGGGCTTTCAGCTTTACCTTGAACGTTCCTCGCACTAGGTGATGGTCTGAGACCACTTGTGCTCGACTTCGTGTCCAACAGACTGTGTATCCACTTTCTTGGGATTGAGATGAAGTTTGTCTGAGTTTTGAAGGAACCCATGTAGCCTTGTCCATTTACTTATGATTGTACACGCTGCTTTCATTCACAGAATCACTGGAGGAGCAGAAGTCTGCATATAGTTCACTTTTCTCATTCATTTCGCCGAGAGCCGATTTTGCGATTTTAGGCAACGTTGTGAAGGCGGTTTCTAGTCTAGAGGGGGGTAAAGGATCAGAGCTTAATGATACACCTTCATGAGAGTTCAAGAGTAGTGGTGCTGAATAACTGATTAAACTAGTGGGCATCATGTATCCACAAAAAAAACAGCGAACATTTTTTGGCAATGAATTCTTCAGGGTGTACGGTTATAAATCCACCGAGTTTAGCATGCATAAGGTAGATGAGAATTATATCATATGTATTGTGGATGGAGTAATATTCCGTTTGTTTTTATTATCATTAATAATATGCACGATCAATAAGAATATGAAATAAAAAATAGTCAACAAAAGTACATGTTTCAAAGGTGAGTGTAATCAGCTACAGAAAAATAAACCAACAAATGGATTAGACTAGACTTAAGTTCAAAGGTGATAGGCAACAAAAGTAATGCTAGTGAAATAATAACGATGGTGTGGTGTAAACTTAAAAGTACTATTAGTGAACGATTATTAAGTAATAATAAATTTTGTGAAGTGGAATAAACAGGATTGTGTAAATATAATACCAAGTTGAGAAAGCATGCACTACGTAGACCTAAGGTAATAGAAATATTAAGAAAGGACATGAATTCGTAAACTTTCTGAAATGAACATTAGTCAATGAAACAAAGGCAAAAATAAGAAAAGGAAATAGGATAGTAATTTTTAAGTGCGAATGTTCATGGAGGGTTTGTTGATCTTATTGTAGGCCACGATAAACATAAAGGTTGGACATACTTCTGTATACAATGATTAAATCTTCTAGTATGGATTGTTACCACTACGAAGCACGCAATTGAACATTTATCTGCATGGTTAAGTAAAGGTGTGACCAAATGCATAAATAGTAAAGTCTTAGACCACGTGGCAGATACTGGACACTAAATGAAACCAGAGGAGCCATTCTCACTATTAAACGCTTTCCTAGTAATCACTCTGTAACAGCTTGAATACTCTTTCATTCAGTAGAGCTGAAGCGGCCTCAATCCATACTAGAAGATCTGATCCTTGTATACAGAAGTATGTTCAACCTCTATGTTTACCATGGCCTACAATAAGATCAACAAACCCTCCATGAACATTCGCAATTAAAAATTACCATCCCATTTCATTTTCTTATTTTTGCCTTTGTTTCATTGACTAATGTTCATTTCAGACAGTTTACGAATTCACTGTGGAAATAAAAACGGGATGTGCTTATTAATGATTCCGTCACTAAACACTTTTATTACAACGTAATTATTGGGAAAGTTTTAATGCTTATTTGATTGTAGGGATTATAAATTTCACTTGTTTTTCCAGTGATGGTGGCATTATTTTAGTTGCATGGTGGTCGTAGGTTACGTGTTTTAGGTGTCCAAATTATATTTTAAAGATCTTTCAGGATATGTGACTTACATTCTTTGTCTCATTTTATTATGTAATGTGGATACTGTGGATATGATAAATCCACTACTCTTAAGAAAGTTTAAGGTGTTGCCTTTTGAAGCTTCTAACATTGTTTGACAATTTTCATATCTTTGAGAAATGGTTTTACTATTAGAAAATGTTTTCTTTCCATTGTTCACTTAATATACAGTTATCAATTTATCCAGGCATAGTTTGTATCTCATTAATTGATTTCGCGCCCGTATAGAGCCAGTAAGAGTTCGCTCTTGAAACAAACAATCTTGGATAGTCGGACCTTTTAGCTGTTATTGAGTCTTGGCTCGCTTTTCTTAGAAACTCCAATTGATTTTATTTAAGTGCACGTATTTGATATTATAGTTGTTCATTCTACTACTAATCAATTGACTTTTCTTAATTAGTTTCAATTTGAGAAGATTCATTTTCCTTGTTTATTAGGTGTGAATTGCTTCTAACGGACCTGCTGAAAGAGATAGAGGCTAATCCGAGTGAAATTGCTTTGGACACGATGATCAATTGTCTAATAGTACATTGTCGACTTTCTGCAACAGGTGATTTCTTTGTTTTTATTTCTGTTCTGAGACAGTTTTTACGTAGTCTGAGGTAAATATTTCAATAACCAAAGATTCGTTTCTTTTACTTAAAAGTCAGATGCTGTCGTATCACCATAACAGAATTTTTCTACGCTTATAGTGGCTAGTAAGTGAAGGCATTTTCTACAGATGAACATTTGTATCTAACGTTACTGCTTTGAAGTTGATAAACCTGCAAGAATTAGGATGTAAAACATGAGTTGGGAAATGTATATAGTGTTACTGGAAATCTTAGTGTTCTATAAGACAAAAAAAAATAGAATAAGCAATATACTATTGTTTTATTGATAGTGAAATGGGTCCATTGTCTTCTATGAGGTACTTCAATATCAAGTTATATTTCATCATTTGTAAATTCTCACTTAACTGTTGCGTGACTAAAGTCTCTGAGATGCCCGTCATCCAGTTTGCACCAGTGTAGAAACGCTGGAAGTAATGAGGTTGAGCTAACGTAAATGAAGACACTAACAAGCGTAAAGATGAATATTAAATAATGTAAAGACTGAATATATATGCTTGGTCAGGTAGTAGATGCAGCAGGTTACGAAAGTACAGAGATGAGGTGAGCTTTCTACTAGGTTGTCATCCCATATTCGAACAAGACCGGGAGAAATGGATATCAACAACAGGTAGTACTTGTCAACCACTTGGACTTATTAAAGAAACATGTTTCGAAAGTCACTTTGAGAAGCATGGTTTCTCGATAACTTTTCGTGAGACGTCTGAAATCGGTCTACGCTCACCTCTGATCTAAGCTCAGCTAAATCGATTTTCTAGTTGTAGGCGACGTTGCGAAAGCGGTTTCTAGTCTAGAGCTAGGTAAAGGACCAGAGCTTAATGATACACCTTCATGAGAGTTCAAGAGTAGTGGTGCTAAATAACTGACTAGATTGACGAAGACGCTATTTAATTAGAGGGATTGTTCTATGAGGCTGGTTAAAATCGTTGGGCATTTCGGTTTATAAGAATGGGAACTAACCCTACTGTGATATTCAACAGGGGATCAGTTTAACTAATACATCAATAACTAAAATTCCAGGCACCATGGTAATTCAGAGGCCAAGTGTGATCGACAGAAATGGAACAGAATCATGTTTATTTGTGTCTGGAAATCAGTACATATCTGAATGAGAAATTTTTATATTTCTCCTTCTTTGGCTTCTTTGTTATTTTGAGCTTTCAAAGGAATGCTGTCCACGTAAACTCTACTATTCAATGTAATTGTGCTGAAGTTGTGTATCGGCGAAATAGCCAATCTAAAAATGTCAGAAGTTATGACAACACCTTGCCCATCTGGGATGTGGATGACCACCGGTTTTGTATAATTTCACTGATGGTTGTGACTCCTGTCGATATTGTGGAATCTCTAATCTTAAAATGCCTCACCAATTTTGAGTGCACAACCACTGACAAAATATAGTGTTCTCAAAATCTTGAACAAACATCTGCGTATGTTTGACGTGACTTGGACATGGCATCGGGATATTTTCACTTACTTTCCTTATATGAGATAATTTTATCAGTTGTATATGTTTAAATGTTTTTTCGGTTTTGTTCCTGTGGTACAATTTTTTGTCTGGTGTTTGTTTGTTTCATGTGCGTGCTTCTTTTTGTTGTTTTGTGCAGCTTGTTCCTTCGTCAATGTTGCACTAAAATCCTCTTCACCACCCACATCACAGTTTCCAAATTCTGTTGGATCGTCAGTCGTTGTTGATGCATCAGCGCAAAGTGTTAGTCTACTGCAGAATACACCAAGTGTTTTGGATTCAGCCCCGTCGAGAAATGGAATTACTAGTTGTTCCCCAGAGCAGCTTAAACAACGAGCTGCTTTGAAATGGATTAAAACATTCGTTGAAGTGGATCCACACCATATGCTTTCCTATGCTTCAGGAATTATTGGTGCTGTTCTACCATGTTTCATGTCCTGTGGACCACATGATGCGACAGCGGAAAGGCGAGGTAAGCTTTTGGAAACAATTTAGTTTTCAACCGTGTTCCAAACGATTTTTCTTTTTTTGCCTGAGTTTTGTATCGTTTCAGAGGAGATAGAATCCACGTTTTATCTTTATAAGTGGGAACTATGAATTTTTTCGGAACGCGAAATTCGAAGCCATTGGATGCCATACTCTTAAACAAAAAATTGCAGAATGTGTCTTTATAACTGGAAAATTAGCGTGTACCTTAAGTAATAGTAAAACTATCATTAAGAAAAACGTTTAATTCTGCACTTCTGTTGACACCCATATAGAAAAAAATAAAAAGCTATTACGTGTTAGCGTTAAAGCTCATCAGATTATTTAGTAACGGAGTATTGGCTTTACTGTTTAGACTTGGATAAATATCTTGTCTCAGAAAAATTTAAAATTGTCTTCCACTAAAATATTTTGGAAATCAATATATTCCGTGTCGCCTAGAGGATCTTCTTCACAGAGCACATTTGACTACAAAATTTCGCATAGTGATCTCCTTAAAACGAATGTATGAAGCTTTTTCCGATATATATTTTTAAATCTGCTGTATTGGTGATTCACTGGTTTAAAATTTAAAACTCCTTACAAGTTTGTTTTCATATTGTGCTATTACGTTTGGTGTAGAAAAGATTATATTCGGTTTAATTACGTGTTAAGGTTAGGGTTTGGAAGTAGAGCTGGCGTCACGTGTACAGTATCTTCTTATATCCTTTTCACTTTCCACTATATTTATTTATTGAGTCAGCTGGAAGAAGAATCACTAGTTACTGTAATCACAGTGCTACTGTCGTTTGTTCTACAATAATTCGAGGTTATTTAACGCTTTCTACCAGCACTTTTGCCTTTATTAATACAGTTAATTATCGTAATTATCGTAATCATCAGGATGCAGTAGGATTCCAACGTAATTACGAAGGAGTGGTAAATTCCAAGGAAGTATATGACAATGGGATTGTCATTGTATTGTGTTGACCATATCTGTTTCCCACGACTGATAGCGTAATTTATTGTTATTCACCTAGCTTTGGCTATCCAGCTTTACTATTTATAAATAGTGTTGGGAACTGGGAAATATTTAGATGAACACTTTTTGAAATAGAATTTCATTCTCATTATATCCCTATGTATCTTGCAGTTCACGCCTAGTAATTTGAGTAATATTAATAATTGGCATCGTTTTTCTAAATAAAATTCGTATTTTGTTGGCTTAGTTAGAAACATTTGTTACTATTACTTCTCTTTTTCACTTCGATTCTTACCTTTCCGTTAAATGTGTACTGACTTAATTGATTTTGTTTACATTAAATCCACTCTTTCTTTTGTTCCTTATTGTTTATTTGTCGTTATTTTTGTTCTAAGTTGCACTGGAAACTGCTGTATGCATAAACGAAACCCTTTTGAAAGCTGTTAGGCAGTTCAATTCACGTTCAGTGACTAATGCGAATACATACAGTTCATCAATCTCTCATATGGATTCACTAAATTCAGGAAATCAGTCGGAGAGTGTAACCAGACAGTAAGTTTTGATGTGTAATTACCTATTGTGTTAGGTTGGATTGATATGTTTTCATTGTATAGAATGTATCAGTTTTTTAAAAGCTGAGGGTGTTGACGTTCACGGATACTAACGCAATATATATAATACCCACACCTCCTATAGTATACGTTCCGCGTAGACTAAAAACAAAGCAAAAGACAAATCGATCGTCCAAAATGTGAAGTATATTTCGGGACAAATCGTGGTACGAGGATGACTTCTTAACTAGCTAGGAATCGTGCACGAACGAACGTAACACGACAGCGTACCAAATCTCGTGGATGCTTGACAGTGATGGCCAGCATCCACTGTTCAGTGACGAATGCTTTGGCTAATAATTTTGGGGAATTATCTACCTCTATAGTTTTCTTTTCATACGTGAAATATTTGCATGCAGTTGTGTTTGTTTAACATAACACGATGTAGGATGTGTATCCTGTTTACGTACTTCGTGACATTATCTCACTTTTGTATCTGCGAGGAGTCAAATAGTTTTGAGTTTCGGTGTATCATGAAATTAGTGTTTATTGTGAACCACATATTCTTAGATGTGCCTTCCTTGTGAAGGGATTTTGAATTCAGAACTACAATAATGCGTTGTTTTCAGCCTCACAAAAAATAGGAAAAAATAGTGACGTATGCATTTTTCTAATCCAACGAAACAAAATTTTGAAAATTCTTGTGCTGCGGAATTTTTATTTAATGAATATTTTCATTTAGGAAATAAAACTGACAGTGGTGACAATCGCAATCGTGTAGTGGTTATTGACAGATGTTTGTGAAGAGACTATCTAGTAGTTCGTGTATGACAGTATATATATACTGTATACAGTATATGTATCATTTGGAGATGAGATCAATAAAGTGTCTTTGATTTACCTTCGCTTACAGCTCACAGGATAACAACTTAACTAAGCAACTTTCAGAATCATCTACAGAACAAAATGGTTCACAAATTTTGTGTTCAGAAGCTATATTAGAAGTCACGTTTCAACTTCTCAATAATTCAAGCCTGTTAACTCGTTTAGCAGCACTTCGTTGGATTACTGTGCTTGCAGAAGTATGCTCCGCTGAAGTATTTTCACAAATTGATCGTCTTTTGCCGGAAATGCTCAAGTTAGTTTCCGATCCTGCTGATGAAGTAGGTCTTCTCATTAAAGTTGGATAAAAGTGTTTTATGCCGAATTTAAAATGATGATAGCAATGGTTTCCTATTTAACTGTTCTATTTTTCATAGATGGTACATTCAACGATTTGGTTGATTGGAAAATTGAGTTACCTTACAATCAATTCTGATGGGGATTATTTAAGCAAACAGTCTATTATTATGCCTGAAGAACTTCTGGAATTATTACACGAATCGGATCTTGTTAATACACGATCAAGTGATCGAATAGCCAGCAATTCTGTAGGTGTGCCACAGTCGACTCCGAATACATTTTGTCTACGATTTCTCTTGGATCTAATTAATTTATTCAACAGGGATCCCGAGTTGTTACGAAAACGGGGAGATATGATTATCACGTAATAAATGATTATTATAGTTTCTATTTGATATTGTATTAGGGAATATTTTAATTGTTACGTGTACATTGATTCAGAACGTTTATCATACTGTGGTGTATGGGAATTCCGATATTTAATCACTTATATTTTCAAGAATCCTTCACTAACAAATCGGTTCCATTGTTAACACTATGAAGACACAATTAGCAAGAATGATCAAATAAATGAACTGTATGATGTACATCCGTCGACCATTGACTAACATTTTTCATTTTTCCTGACGTGAACTCGAGATTTGACTCTGTCTGTCAATACGTGATGTGGAAATGACTGGATGTGACGGGATTATTGAGAAAGTGTATTGCACCCTACTTTAAATCACGCGGCCAAATAGAGATTCATGGGATGTTGTCATCTTCAGTTTGACCTCATTGTTGACCTCGAAGTTTCAATAATTGGTTTGTCATTAGGCAATAGTGTTGGTGATTTCGAGTAGATAGAGGATAGTGGAAATATCGGCAATACGCGGGGAACTCAAAACAACTTGAACAGAAGTCAAAGTAATTCTGTTTTCAAATGAAGGTAGTGCTGTACTGACTGGTGGTTTAAGGATAGAAATTACAAATGGTCAAGTGTGTTGACCTTTAACTTATTTGTGAAGTTGTATCCTCAACTGTATACTGATGAAATCTCAGCGCCAATACAAAACCAGCGGTTTTTACTCACTAAGTGTCGTCATCGCCAACGCAAGCTTGATATCCATCCATCCACTATAGGACGTACGTATTTTGCAACAGGTAGTTCACTACATCCCCCTTTACGTCATCTGGTCGTTGAAAGTGGGAGATATAAAGAGAATGACTGTCTTTGATCATCGGTGTCTGCGTCCTATCTCTCAGGTAGGTTTAGTGTTGTTGTGTAATATGGTGAGGAATAATGCTGTTAGATGTAGAGTGTTGCGTTAGTAGGGAAACTAAATCCAGTGAGATGGCGAAGTCACGTGTGGGTAGTGAGATGACTAAGACATGTGTTACGCAGACTGATCTGTTGCTTAACTCGACAATGTTAGCTGATATAACATTATATTGAAAAAGAGTGAGGTTTTATTATATCAGAACGGGGCATGAATACTTGAAGTTTTGACTGTTGATTTAGACCATGCAAGGAATGCCTGGTTGGATACTGAGTTTTAATGCTGAGAATGTTCTTAGCTGTCATTCCGTTAAGCTTTAGAAATTTTTTAATAAACGTTCACTGTTTAAATAAGAACTCATTCATTCTTATTTCATCTTCATTTTATGCTCTGGTCCTTATTTGTTAGCTGGAATTTTATTAACTGGAACAGTATCGAATGGCTGTTTTCAAGGAATGTTTCAGGTGGTAGTTATAAAAAATCTGATGAGAAAATACAAAACAATGCATCTATCTGTTCAGCTATAATAAATTATTATTTATTGGAATATTTACTATTAAATTGATTTATAGTGATTCAAAGATAATCCATTCGCTTAACTGTTAAGGAATCTGTGTGTACTCCCAGGAGAGGTTTTATATTTGCAAAATCGGATGTATTAAAAGTCAGCATGTTTTTTGTTTTTGTATTTTACAGTTTGACATGAGTTTCTATTGACTTGTTTGTTTTGATTACCGTCTAGTGATCTTTGTCAGGTTCTTGGAGCTGATATCGTTTATTGCACCATTTCTACAATTATTTCTTATATTAAACCACTGGATTCTGCATTTGTACTAATACAAGCATTGAATCGAATTCTTTTAACACAACCAGTTTTAAATGATTTTCGTAAACAGCTGCGAACAATCAGTACGAAGGTAAGTGAAAATAGTTGAATGTTTTGAAATTTAAAAGTGCATTGTTAACAGACTAAAAAATAATGTTTTCCCAGATACACTATTACTTCTTCTGTTTCATTACAATTAATTAATTCTCCTCTGTGCTCACCGTAATTATTGAGAACGTGAAATTCGGACTGAGGTTTTCAATCAAGAGATAAGTTGTCCTTCTGCTAGCAATCGATGTATTATACCAAAGAACTTTGTTCTAGCTGCTTATCATTTGAATTGATGTCCCAATCTGGAAACAGTAGCAGTTATGGAAATGAGTGTCATTTGATCTAATAGAGATAGTTACTGTAGATCTTTGTAAGTGAGCGATATGATCACAGCACTTTAAAAGACTTGGTTACAAGAATAACTTCATCACACCTAATGTCGCTCATCTAATAGTGGCGTTTGCTATGAAATTTACTTCTCATAGTCATGTCATCAATGTGTTTATATCAAATAAAACTATTACTCAGGTCGAGACATGCACCAGTTCTCATCGATTTTGACTTTTGGTTTTAGCCACATAGTGAGTGGGGTAGAGACTTCGTGACTTGACTCCTGGAGATGTTCGTAATCCATGACTTGAGAGTGTTGGTAGTATGACTCAAAATCATTCTCAGCAGCTCGGATTTATGCACTCCTAATGATGTCCTAGATTCATTAAATCGTCAATATTCTTTCTTCCCAATGCCTGCCCCCTTCATTTTAGCTTCTTTGCCTTTATTTTCTCTACTTCGTTGAAGCCAAAATTAATTTCATAGTTGAGAATTTGCCATTATGTAAGAAACAGTAATATGGTAGATGGGATCTAATGTGGTTGAGTTCGAAAGGGAAATTATGGAAAGTTAATTTTGTCACTGATTCACATAACTGCAATTAAAAATATGAGAAAATGAATTTATAATCAACAAGTGAACAGATTTGAAAGACTCAGCGGTAATCATTGCAATCAGTTATTGTGAATGTTCAAAGAGCGTCAAACATTATACTGGTGTCATGCTACCTAGACACTCTGAAAGATACTATGAACAAAAGCTGAGAAAGAATATTGTTATTGCTTACATTAATTGATCACTGGGATTTACAATGTGTTGTTGTGTAGTCCTAAGTGCTGACTGATTTCCATCAGTCAAGTTTGCAATGTTCTTAGGGTGTAAAAGGACGTTATACAGCATTAAAATGTGAGATTATGAAAAAAGTCTATAATCGCTAACGTAGAAATAGAGGCTGAACATACCTTGTCGCAATTACAGGTTAGGATTACTCGTACTAATTCGCATGCACTTAGATACGGATGAGTGTTTTTAGACAGAATGCTCAGTATTCAGTATATTACTGAAAATTCTTCTTGTGTTTTCATCCTATAGTCACTGTCGACTGAATGGATTAAAGGCGCACTGTGTATTGAATTAGTACTTCCTCATTAGTTTATAACAGTCGATTACTCTGTGTCTATCCCTACCCCACCCCACCCCACCTCTACTTACACAGGGACAGATAAATTCGTATTCACGTTGATGCAGTAATTATTAATACATTGTGAATTGATCCGTTCAGCATACAGCTTAATCAGGTATGTCGACATCGAACTGACCTCGTATCGTAGGTAACGCTTCTACTTACTCATTGAATCCGGCCGTATATTTGATAAATTCCTCCTAGTTATATACTACTGCCTTAAAGAGTCTCTTTTGCTCCACCAATGCAGTCACGTATCTTATTCTATGGTAGAGACATTGAATTAAATTACTCTTGTACTACATAAAGTACGCACCGGTGTGACTGTGTACTGCTAAGCAGTCACAAACTAGGATCAAATGGCTGTCCAGCACTCACTCCCTGCTTTCAATGATTCTCTAAGCGATATCGATCCGTGATCAAACTCGGAATAAACGAGCTACCTACACAGCGACAATAATATTCAGGCGAATTTATCAGATTGTGTTACAAAACTCCATTTCCTCGTCTTCAATAAAACTGCAATTAAAAAAACACACGAGATGAATCCTTTTATATTGATTGCTTTTACATTGAATGAGGAGACCAGAAAACCACAGGGAAAATGAAAGTTTGTATTGTGATCACAGATGAAAACATACGTACAAATTAAAATTTAGATTTATAAGTAATTAAGGCAAACCTGATGTTTGTAGAGGGTTATTATATTCAAAATCACCAGTTATAAAGAAGGCAGAGTAATTTTCAAAAAATAAATTTAACAACCTTCAACGCGATACATACATGCATACTGGATGACCGGCCAGAGATACTTCAACTTCCATGAGAGCAACAACGGTGGAAAACGAAGATCATTCTGTAATGTTCGAAGGGACCCAGTAGTCGGTGTTTATACCGAGTCTCGTAAAACTCTAAAACCGTTTCAGAAATAATAAATAGAAAATAAGACAGTACTTATATGCAATGCTGCAATAAATCAAACTTGTGACAGCAGAGTTTGACTTTACAACTGGAAATAATATGGTGACTCCAGACTGACTTGGCATTGAGTGGAATGTTGCATAACCACTTTCTAACTTGACATGGCTGTAATTACTTGGCAATACTATTTGATCAAACAGCTATACACTTGAAATGTGATTGTTCACACATATAATCCTCTACTCTTTCGTATCGAAGTTAAATACTTAGCATCAAATAACTGAGACTATTTCGGAAATATATGAATTTCTCTATGCATGGCATTATGTTATATACTGAAGAAATAGGACACGCGTTTCATTTCCGGAAGAAGATGAGCATAAGAGAGGTGGTTATTGTGAATTCAATCCAACTGATAGTTTGGCCTACTCAAACGTCTAAGAATTATTTCCTTTGAATAATAGAGAGAAAAGGCAACCAGCCAAAATTTATTTATGTATTTGAACGCATAAAAACTTGGTACAATATGGCACCAAGAAGGATGCGCCACACAATAATAATAAAATAACATAGATTAAAAGAAAAAAAGAAAGAAGAGAAAAAAATATATAAGTAGAGAACGGATAAAGAACTTCATCTGGAAGGAAAACAGCCGTGCTTAACAAGTTCAAACAGTATTCGTTAACTATCATCGGGAAGGGAAGAAAGAAAGAAACTGCAACACGTGTAATAGCACACGATAAGTCTCGATGATTGTTTGTTGCTTTATTCAATTCATTATGTGAGGGCTGAGATACTGCCGGGCGCCCAGACCGAAGCAGGTGGTTTTATTAAGGGATCACCCCCCGAGCCTTTGACTTGGAGTCTGATCCGCAAGGCAGTGGAGCAGCGTCAGGAGCTGCATTCACATGGCTGCCGGTGACCCATACGGGTCCATACGCCATTTGATCCGATTGGATTCTGGAGCCCATGTACCCCATGGTAACTGCTTCTAGTTTAACCGCTATCCAAGCAACCTTCCTGACATGGTAGGACCTTCAGGGACATGAGTCCTAGTCATTTTGGCATATTGAGTTATTAGGGTATTGAAGCCCGACCACCACGACAAGGTAGCAGTTATCGGCCGAGAACCAGCCAAAGCCTCAGTTGTGAAATAGCTCTAGTAAATAAATGCATAATTTGTAAAGTAGTATTTACTCGCAACGTATATTTGAGTTTTTGCTAATAATTCTCCGTTAAGAAAACTAATTACATAACTTTCAAGTATCAACATTTTATCGATTTACTCTCAGTATTAATTAAGATGACATAGTTAAGTGGAGAAATTGGATAAACATCGAAAAAAAATTTATTTAATTGGATGAACACTATCACGCGAACGCATTCGAAATGGCACTACGCCCTTACTAAATTTTGATTTATGAAAAGTTGAATGGCACCTCAAAATTCGTTTCATTAAAACAACTGTATGTTTTATTTATTTTGTAGACTCAATGTCAATTATTTGAAAAACTTTACCGTGCCTGGTGTTATAATCCAGTTTCATTATTATCACTTTGTTTGTTGTCGCAGAATTATAAACATTGTAGCCGTTTGGTGAAATCATTGTATCCTTTTACTGAACACAAGCTCTTACATATCATCATTACTTTTCTTTTCCCACAAGAAAGCAGTGTCGTTTGGAATTCCATGCGAAATATTTGCCTCGTAATTAAAATATTTCCGAATCGCTAGGTGATCTGAGGCGAAATCGTAGAGGTTGAGTAATTCCTAATAAGTATTAAAAATAGAACCATCAAAAGCAATAGTTTGTTGTAGTTGATAACATCATACTAGGTTTCAGCTGAATTTACTGAAACTTCGAATTTGCAAGTATTCTTTTGTCATATTCTCCTAAATGATCAAAGCTTGTAATGAGTAGTTCTGATGGATTGACGGTATTTTTCAAGTTCACCAGTGTATTCCCAGAAGAGTGTGTTTAATTTCTGTCTGTCTGTTTTCGACATAGAACTTTGCACAAATGTGCGGAAGTTCAAGTCGCCACATTCCGTGTAGCACGCGAAGCAAGAGAAGAAAGTACAAGAAAAGCATAATAGAAACAGTGAGCAGAGGTGTGAGACAAAGGAGTAATAAAGAAATACAAAACAGTTTCATTGAAGATCATAAGTCACAGGGAGTGGATGCATCTGCGCCACTGAGAACGATTTTGAGCCATGTCACCAATTGTTTCCAACCATAGATTTTTACCGTCCCGAGGACCCCAGCCTGGAAGTCTACACCTTTCTACGTGGCTTAGACCAACTGTTGTGGATTTCATTGACTGATGCCAAGTTTTTGTTTGACCGCCGCTAGCTTTTTTCCAGCCTGACCCTATATCCGCTAACATAGCTCGTCGAGGGAGGCGATGACTTGGCATACGTAACACATGTCCTAACCATCTCAGTCTTTGTAGCTTCACGACTTCGTCGATTGATTTCCCCTGTTTACCTAGAACTCTACGCCTAACCTCCATGTTGCTCACCTTATTATGCCACTTTACACGGGAAATAGAACGCAGGCACCTATGATCAAAGACAGCTAGTCTTTTCATGTCTTCCACTCTCAGTGGCCAGGTCTCACAACCATAAAGGAGGACGGAGCGGACTGATGAGCAGTACACCCGCCCTTTGGTCGATAGTCGAACATCTCGTCTACGCCAGAGTCGGCGTAAACTAACAAATGCGAAACGAGCCCCTTGTATTCGTGCTGAGATTTCGTCAGAGATCAGCCCGTTGGGGCTGATGGTACTTCCCAAATAAGTGAAGCGGTCAACGTGCTCTACCACTTCACTTCCTATTTTTAAACTAGGCGTCGATGTAGTCCAGTCCTGTAACATCATCTTGCATTTGGCGGGAGCGAATCGCATGCCAAACATTCGTAGATTGCGGCTCAAGGTGTTTAGAAGACTCTGCATTTCGTCAGCGTCTTCGCCTAGAAGGACTATATCGTCTGCATATTCCAAGTCAACGAGATTATTCCCGGTAGCAAGTCAATCCCTGAGTCGCTGAAGTCACCTAGGGTTAAGTCCATTAACACATCTATGATGAAGTTGAATAGAAAAGGAGATAATGGGCATCCTTGACGGACACCACTGGTCGTCATCAGTTCAGATGACAGCTCGCCGTAAGCCCTCACCTGGCTGTATGAGTACGAATAGAGTGCCTTAATCAGTGCAATATATTTTCTTGGAATTCCCTTTACAGCCAAGCATCTCCAGAGAACTTCCCGATCGACAGAGTCGAATGCTGCCTTTAGGTCAAGAAATATAATGACTGTTGGACGCCGGTAGGAATGCCTATGTTCTAGAATCTGTCGGAGGGTGAAGATATGATCAATACACCCTCTTCCTGGTCTAAAGCCTGCCTGGCTCTCTCGTGTTTGTGCTTCCCGAGCACCACTCAGTCTACGCATGATTATTGAGCCTAAGACTTTAGATACTATATTAGTCAAGCTAATCCCTCTGTGATTATCACAGGAAGACTTGTCTCCCTTCTTGTATATGGGGATAATCAGTGACTTACACCAACCCGATGGGACTTCTTCTGATTCCCAAACGCTGCCTAGTACCTCAGTTAATCCGGACAGTAAGCTGTCTCCACCGTACTTAAATACCTCTGTTTAATTTAGTGTCTGGTGGAGCCCTATCACTATCATTTGTAATCTGAGAGTTCATCAGTCGTCTGAGAGTTTGTTTGTTTTCCGCGAGTTGCTTTTATCACATTGTAACTCAAGGTATTCTGTGTTGATCAGCTTTCAATCATTTTATTTTCATAATAAGTAAATATTAGCTTGTTTTCTTAACCTAAGATTATTGCATCGCCACTTCATCATTTTGCAATAAGTGGAGGTATTGTTATAACCGTTGAAATGTTGTACGATATGGATCAGTTAATTCAGATGATTGAATCACCAATATTCACAAGTAAGTTGTATTACTTATTATCTGTGTCTGTGGTGAGAGCAGGCTGCTAGCCAATTGGTAGACATCAATCTACGTCAATGTCTAGGTCATTAATATTGGCCGTGAGAAAATATGAACAAGGCCGATTCAACAACCAATCACAGCAGACTTAACATGGGCAAATATGATTCGTAGATAAATGGCTCCATTTTCCTAGGTTACCCGAAACAACCAATAAGAAGTCTGCGTTTGTTTGCTTAACTTCCGAAAAACAACCAATCAGAAGACTGCGATTTTCTACTTGTATGAGCTATAATCATGTACAGGAAATATATATAAATACGTGTTGATTTCCGTAATAAAAGGATCTGTTGCCGGCCCTTGTCTTCTGTTGTTACATTTGGTGTCGCTGCCTACCGACAAATGGAAAACCTATGCCCTGCAGTTTTTGATGGAGACATATGGATCTTCGGGCAGGACTTCAAGGCTTCTGCACAGTTGACTGGCGTTCAAGATCTGACAGCGATGGAGCTGCTACTTGGGACGCTGCTGGGAGGTCGGGCGAAAGCAGCATATGAAAGTGTGAGCCGAAAAACCGACGAATGTTCGACAGGGTCAGGCAAACAGTTTCCAAAGTGGGAAGGACCACATATGGTCACTTCGAGATGGGGTTACGCAGACACAATCGCAATGGCACGTGAACGTCAGCGAGCTCCAGAAATGGATACAGCGAGACACGATGACGCCCGCACCAGGAAGATCAAGCCGACTTCAGTCGCAAGTTTTTGTGTCTACTTTAGAAATCTTCATTATTAGAAGACCGACCCAAAATCAGCATTTTTTAAAAATCTGTCAGTTTTATTTTTGGTGAATTGATAGCCGGATATCATCATGTTACAGTCTGTACACTCATACGTATACTGTTCAACTGGATGACAACATGAGGTGTGTAACGCATGCACAAATTTTAATAGTTCGCACAGACAGAAAATCTTATACGAGTAATCAGCAGCAATATTTGTGTCAAAATATGAATGGGTTTCCGAAATTTTGAAATGTATTACAATGCTGAAACTGTGTATGTGTCTGTATGTATTTGCCTTATTGGTTAGTTTTTGTAAACATTTTGTTATTAACTACGTTCTGGATTAAAAAACATATCTATGTCACATCGTTTGGCAGGGTTTACTTTACTTAAAAGATGCATGACATATTGGTTATATACAGATTTTGTCATCTAGACTGGCATTCTCATATTCTACTGTTCATATTTATCATTCAATCATAGTAATGTGAGCATAGCTCTATAATACTAAAACAGTAAAGCCTATTATGGGTGATTGTTTTACCTTGTGTTTCAGGTCTCCGGATGCATATGCTTGATAGACGTTTCAGCACTGATCTTCGAGAAACGTTATATTGCTTACTTATGTGTCTTCCACAAACAGATGCATTTCAGACACTTTGGAGACGTTTACAGTGTTTACCGCCCGTGGAATGCATTTCAGACAGTTCGGCGTAATTACAAAACTATTTTATAGAGTTTGTTTAATTGTTTTAACACATTTTGAGTGGATAAACCCATAAATTGAAAAGCTCGAAAGGCACGTCTTCACAAATATGTCAGAATGGGATACATTTTAGTTTTTCTTCTATATGTATATTTACCTGTGGAAAAAGTTTGTTTGATTGAAAACGAATTGATGGAGAATTAAAAGTCTATCAGTGTGATGTGTTATCATTAATTCCGTTTCACCTATTGCCGAAACTATATAATCAGAACATTCTTCTTTATTCGTATGTTTTTAATTTTGTGATAGCCTGAGGAAAGTTTATCCGAAAACTAGTGTGTAGTGAAATTAAGTTATTGGAAATTCCCAAGGCACCTACTGATCAAAAGAAGTTACATTTTTCAGTATTGATGAAGGAATAGTTAAAAATTATCAATCACTCAGGTTTTAGATTTATGACTTTTATGGTAATATGGTGTTCTCTAAAGTGGATAGTTGCCTAATGAAGTATTCATCAATCTAGGGAACATCTTCGAGCTATTCACTTTTTCGTGATTTCTTGTTTCAGTAAATGCATTCATTTACATTTAGTTACTTCACCTTGGTAACTTTTGGCTGTTTTCCCCTGATCATGCATTATAACGCTTACTGATGACCCGAATCATGAAAATGTATGAAGCGTTTGCCTGAAAAAACAAGGAGTATGAGAAAATGTTTAGAATCTTAGCACTTTGATCGTACTGCATTTAATGGATATATAAAAGTAGATCCGGTTTTCTGGTGAATAAGAATGAAATCAGCGTCATACATACAATTAAAATATGTCACCAGGCAACTATTAAATAACTGCTGATCAATCGTGTTGAGAGTAATCACGACATTGTATTAAAGTTCATGCAGAGAAAAATCCAGTGTCATGCTGACTTTCGTTCTGAAGATTTTTTGAGTGAGAGTAATCTTGTCAACTGTGTGATACATTCCCTATTGTGCCAGTATTTATTATGAGATATAAAAATCTTCCTTTACACGCAGTGAGCTTCACTACTTCAATATTTAACTGAATGTTCAGGAAACACTGCTCTGTAAATTTAGGAATAGTTTGTATCCAAGTTTCTCTTTCCTTCAGTTATGATTCATTTTCTTCTTTGCTTAAAAATCACAATTAATATGAATTAGTTGAGTTATTGTAAGCCTATGATCTAATAAATTAGAACTTATGAATCCTGAAATTCGGCTATTTAAGCACTTACAACATAGAGGTGTAGAGGTTAAGAAAACTTGTTCTCAGTGTTTGAGGAAGGCTTAGACATTCCAGTCTATCCTAGGAAGCTAAGCAAAATGATGTATTTTGTGATTCGTTCGTAACCTAATATCAATATCTCACACAGTAAATAATAAATGTAACTATCTACATTGAGACAACAATTCCTTGGTGTTTGGAGACATACCAATACATATGAAGGCATTGTAAGCGTTGTGTTACGATAACCTACTACATTGTCGATCTGTAAATTTGGTGCTGAAACAGCAGCGAGTTAACCATTGTGAGGAAAGGTATTTTAAATGATCATTGTTAAGGGAATCTTTAAACAGCTTGGATTGCATATAATTTTTGTTTTATTGAGTATATCACACAATGAAACAGTTGTATTTAGTGGATAACGTCTCGATTACAATCTACTGTTCATAATCACATCTATTTCTAACTACACTACTTCGAAACACAATTTTTTATGGTTCTCGTTCTTTTTCTACATTTATCGTAAAGGTGTAGTGCACGTCGCCTATTGCACATATTCTCCGTTGATTCGATGAATACAGCTCCCATTATCAGTCTTTTTCTCCATTCTGTTTGTTAGATATTGTCAACTTGTGTGTTTGGCTGATAACGGGAGCTGTTTTCATCAAATCAATGGAGAATATGTGCAATAGGCGACGTGCACTACACCTTAACGATAAATGTAGAAAAAGAACGAGAACTATAAAAAATTGTTTCGAAGTAGTGTAGTTAGAAATAGATGTGATTGTGAACAGTAGATTGTAATCGAGACGTTATCCACCAAATGCAACTGTTTGATTGTGTGATATATCCTATAAAACAAAAATTACTAAGGAATTACACACTGCCGTGCTTGACCAAGTTTACAGAGATGATGAACTGTGATTTCAATTAGTTTTTTCTTTGAAATTATCTTGAATATTCGTCTATGTAAGTCTTTTCAGAACGTCCATCATTTCTGTTGGTACATTTTCATATAAGTTTATACTAATGAATAAATTTGTTATTTACTTTGATGATACTGCTATTCTTCCTCTATATATATTAGTCATACTCCAGAAAATCATTATCCTACACAAAATGCGGTTGGTATACATATCAACTTTGATGGATTGTTTGATCATTTCCACCTAATTCAAAAGCAATCTGATGAATATCGTTTAAGAAACGTGATAAATCGTGATGGAGTATCTCAAAATCATACTACTAATTCATCATCTCATGGTAATCATTCTAGTAGTATTTGTCTTGAAAGCGACTATAATACGTCGCGGATGATTTACAAAGAAAAATCTACGGACAATTCAAATTTCTTCGATAGTCAAAATAAAATTTACTCTAAATCAACAAATTCACTTTGTTCGGCGAGTGAATATTTGACTGAGGTAAATTCTTTTGTGTTCCTTGACATGTAATTTACACTGAAGCCCTTTATCCCCTAGGTGAATTGCTGGATCTTAGGATATTCTTAAAATAGTGTTTGTGACATTGTATTAGGATTTTCAGGTTTCCATTCGAGTTACAAATACATCTTGGAAATTAAATCCATTGCTTTCATATTCGCTTTATGATTACAATGCACTTCGGTAGTCAATTACACTCAGCATTAGTGATCATAATGTCACTCCGACTACACCTCAGCTGTTAATAATTTTCTGCATCTTTTAAATTCATAAATTCTCATTTATCTACTTTAGCTACCAGGAATTAGGCATTATTGCTGTTATTCGTTCTTTTGGTTGGTCAACGGCACTCCTCCCCCTACTGGACTCTTATCTGCAGTTATTTTCAAATAGCTTGCGTTTCCCTTTCACATCTCTGTGCCACAATGGACAACCAACTTGTCACTTCCCGTTCGGGTTAAACTCGTGGTCTCAGCATACTCACTTGAGGATTTCCTCAGGGTTTGTCCGATCTATCTACACCTACCTTTGTACATTTGTTGGCAATTAGCTTCCTGGCTGGTTCACTTTCAGAGTCCCTGCCTATCCTTTCAGATCGGCCACATGATATTTAATATAGAGCAAAGACATATGTTCATAAAAGTCTGCAGTCTCTTAGAAACGCTTTTCGTAATGTGCGCACCCAGCCTATGAACCATATTCAATTTTTCTATACCTGTGTTTGAAATACAGCGTAAACTAAGAAGGTTTCCCAAGTTTCTGATCAAGCATGCCCGTCATCCAGTTTGCACCAGTGTAGAAACGCTGGAAGTAATGAGGTTGAGCGTGACATATAGTGTCAGAATAGCCATGTTAGATATCTCACTGGAAGCCGGCTTTCTGAAAACAAATGACTAGTGACTCGAAACAGTACAGACAAGCTGAAATTTCATACAATAGAGAACAGCTAACGTAAATGAAGACACTAACAAGCGTAAAGATGAATATTAAATAATGTAAAGACTGAATATATATGCTTGGTCAGGTAGTAGATGCAGCAGGTTACGAAAGTACAGAGATGAGGTGAGCTTTCTACTAGGTTGTCATCCCATATTCGAACAAGACCGGGAGAAATGGATATCAACAACAGGTAGTACTTGTCAACCACTTGGACTTATTAAAGAAACATGTTTCGAAAGTCACTTTGAGAAGCATGGTTTCTCGATAACTTTTCGTGAGACGTCTGAAATCGGTCTACGCTCACCTCTGATCTAAGCTCAGCTAAATCGATTTTCTAGTTGTAGGCGACGTTGCGAAAGCGGTTTCTAGTCTAGAGCTAGGTAAAGGACCAGAGCTTAATGATACACCTTCATGAGAGTTCAAGAGTAGTGGTGCTAAATAACTGACTAGATTGACGAAGACGCTATTTAATTAGAGGGATTGTTCTATGAGGCTGGTGAAAATCGTTGACAATCACAGTTGTGAATATATCTGAGAGAATATTCTATATTCATTAATCAGTGTTTTAAATTACATGAGTACAGTGTTCAACACTTTTCTTCAGAAACCTGCCTAACAAATTTCAAAGGACTGATTTCTGAACAAAGAATATTCTATCGAATGACTTCATCTGGTTTTATACCCATAATAATGAAGCAATTAGGGTTGTTAAAAACATCGAATCAATGATATCACTAGGCGACATTTAAATAGCATCTGCAAGCGTGATAATATGCATCAACATAACACTGCAATACACTATATATCAGACAATTAGAAATAATAATAATATGGAATTCATGAGTTCATGGGCTCTATAGAAAGTAAGGGCATTTTAAGGGGCTGGACCTGTTTGTTCTGCATATATAGCACCGGAACACAATAGCCCCTGCTGTTTGGAGTCTTCGATACCGGCGTGCTTTCGAAAATTTATTTGTTACCCGATACATCAGGAAGAAACATTCTTCAATGTACGCTTTGCCGCCAGTTCTGACAAGGTGGTCGAATATCCACCTATCCATATTTCTCACTATACCCTTATTTAGCCACACTGTACCAATGAAATATTATGTGTGAATCAATCACATTTGAAGTGTAAAGCTGTTTGATCAAATAGTATTGCCAAGTAATTACAGCCATGTCAAGTTAGAAAGTGGTTATGCAACATTCCACTCAATGCCAAGTCAGTCTGGAGTCACCATATTATTTCCAGTTGTAAAGTCAAACTCTGCTGTCACAAGTTTGATTTATTGCAGCATTGCATATAAGTACTGTCTTATTTTCTATTTATTATTTCTGAAACGGTTTTAGAGTTTTACGAGACTCGGTATAAACACCGACTACTGGGTCCCTTCGAACATTACAGAATGATCTTCGTTTTCCACCGTTGTTGCTCTCATGGAAGTTGAAGTATCTCTGGCCGGTCATCCAGTATGCATGTATGTATCGCGTTGAAGGTTGTTAAATTTATTTTTTGAAAATTACTCTGCCTTCTTTATAACTGGTGATTTTGAATATAATAACCCTCTACAAACATCAGGTTTGCCTTAATTACTTATAAATCTAAATTTTAATTTGTACGTATGTTTTCATCTGTGATCACAATACAAACTTTCATTTTCCCTGTGGTTTTCTGGTCTCCTCATTCAATGTAAAAGCAATCAATATAAAAGGATTCATCTCGTGTGTTTTTTAATTGCAGTTTTATTGAAGACGAGGAAATGGAGTTTTGTAACACAATCTGATAAATTCGCCTGAATATTATTGTCGCTGTGTAGGTAGCTCGTTTATTCCGAGTTTGATCACGGATCGATATCGCTTAGAGAATCATTGAAAGCAGGGAGTGAGTGCTGGACAGCCATTTGATCCTAGTTTGTGACTGCTTAGCAGTACACAGTCACACCGGTGCGTACTTTATGTAGTACAAGAGTAATTTAATTCAATGTCTCTACCATAGAATAAGATACGTGACTGCATTGGTGGAGCAAAAGAGACTCTTTAAGGCAGTAGTATATAACTAGGAGGAATTTATCAAATATACGGCCGGATTCAATGAGTAAGTAGAAGCGTTACCTACGATACGAGGTCAGTTCGATGTCGACATACCTGATTAAGCTGTATGCTGAACGGATCAATTCACAATGTATTAATAATTACTGCATCAACGTGAATACGAATTTATCTGTCCCTGTGTAAGTAGAGGTGGGGTGGGGTGGGGTAGGGATAGACACAGAGTAATCGACTGTTATAAACTAATGAGGAAGTACTAATTCAATACACAGTGCGCCTTTAATCCATTCAGTCGACAGTGACTATAGGATGAAAACACAAGAAGAATTTTCAGTAATATACTGAATACTGAGCATTCTGTCTAAAAACACTCATCCGTATCTAAGTGCATGCGAATTAGTACGAGTAATCCTAACCTGTAATTGCGACAAGGTATGTTCAGCCTCTATTTCTACGTTAGCGATTATAGACTTTTTTCATAATCTCACATTTAATGCTGTATAACGTCCTTTTACACCCTAAGAACATTGCAAACTTGACTGATGGAAATCAGTCAGCACTTAGGACTACACAACAACACATTGTAAATCCCAGTGATCAATTAATGTAAACAATAACAATATTCTTTCTCAGCTTTTGTTCATAGTATCTTTCAGAGTGTTTAGGTACTATTCACTTTTGATATTCCCTTAAGGTGATAATGTCGACAAAATTATACGAATGCATCACTTGTAAAAATAAAGAATAATAAGCGATACGGTATACACGATAGTTATATCTGTAAAGACTTCAGGCTTAATTTTTTCCCCAGGATTTTGTAATCCACTCGACACATACTTGTGATTTTTTCAATGCGAAGATTATATTTCTTGATGTGCTTCACTGAACGACTTGCCTGCAGATGGTTCACACGAACTCAAGACGAAAAGGAGAGCTACCATGTAATTTGACCATCAACCAAATTTATGTAATTTAAATAACACTCATCTATGCCTGTACAATTGGTGTGTTCCTACGTAGATAGGCATAATTATATGTCGAATGTATTTATGTTACAAAATAAGTGGAAGTTAGATATATGCAAGGTATGCCATCATTCACTCTTACATTTGTAGAATAATAATAAAGGTGGTGTTTCAGCTGCATTTTTGGTCATAAGTGAGACTACTGAGATGTTCTATTTCGGGATTGTGTCGGTGACGTTGTTTGGTCCAGAGGAGTGTCTGGAAAAGTATGCTCTTCCGGACAGCATGTTAGTTGTTTCCAATGGTTTGAAAAATTTGTGAAAAGGCTGGGCTCAAGGCTCAGTAAGCTGACGGTAAATTGATGCTGACATCACCGCTCTAGCGGAGTGACTCTGGAATCACTATCCTTAGGTGATTGAGGAAAGCATACATGCCACCTCACTTATATTCTACTGAGGAACAGTTGAGGGTCTTTGAACATGCCAAGTGTTGAGGATGGTACAGATGGTCTCCTAGTTGACTGTGATATTTTAGGTGCACTCTGGGTTCTGGATCAACGATTCGGGGTGAGGAACCAGCCGTTTACTGTTAGAAATAGTTTGGGCTGGATCATTTTAGGACCAAAACAGTGTGATAAGCCGGTAGCCAATGTTTTATTTTGTCCTACTTCGGACAGCCAAGAAACACCGAACAATTTTGGAGGTTTGTGTAACCATGTATTTGCGGACATGGACAGTCTAAGTGGAGAGAATTTTGAGGACAAGAAAGGAGCTCTGAGGTTGGCTGGTTTCTCTCAGACTTGTTGATGGTCTCTTTGAGGTAGGTTTACCATGGAAATATGATCGTCCCAATCTGCTAGACAGCTGCGGAATGCCTAATCATAGAAATGGGTGTCTCAGAAGACGTATTTCTGAAGACTGTAGCCTACTAAATAACTATACAAAAGTGAAGATGGACTTATGGAAAGGATACACATTAGAGGTGGTCGGAATTCATTCCCGTCCAGAATGAATACAGTGGTATATGTGTAAGAATTAACTGCTCATCTGTTCGGCTCTGTGTTGTCTCCTTTCTTTGCCAATTGTGCATTAGGAAACACTGTTGAGAGCTTTGGTAGTTAAAGATCACGTACAGTTTCTAGACATGTTGAAAGGTACCTCTATGTGGATGACCACTTAGCCTAGCCGACAACTGCTACCTTGCAGTGGTGGTCGGGCTTCAATATGGCAGTAACCCAACAAGCTAAACTGGCTTGGACTCAGGCAAAGTTCTACAATAGCGTCCCAAGGGATGCGAACGCACGAGTGATCTTCAGCCAACCAATCATAAAATGAGGAATTTTTGCACAAAAAAGGACGTATATTCACGAGAAAATGCATGAAAGCATATTAAGAAGATTATCTTCCTCTGACATGACTTAACAATACGTCCCAGTTATGATGAAGAGTGTCAGTTGCTAACTTGGACTAGTTTCTATAGATGTATTAACCGAAGTGACTGAAGATGTGCTGTTTTGTTAATCGTTCATCTCTCTTCTCTTGCTGTGCAGTCAGTCCTCTCCGAAGCCCTCGTTAAATTACTATGGTTTCAGTAAGAGGATCGACGGCTACATACAATGAAAATGAAGATAAATCAAATTAAAATAAACGACATTAACTATAAATCTATCCCTAATCGCAACCCTAACCCTAATCCCAAGATTGGCAGGATCCTGTACCTGAACTCACTGTTGCGGATGGACCGCTTGAAGTTGTTAATACGTTTGTGTACCTGGGTAGTTGTGTGAGTGCTGGCGGAGGGGTGACGGATGAGATTTCCAACCGTATAATGAAGGCTAGGATGGCATACACCAACTTGAGCCACCTATGGCGCCGTCTCAATGTTAGCCTGGCTTTTAAAGGTCAGGTATACAATGATTCGTTGCGGGCTGTCTTCCTCTATGCCCGCGAAACCTGACCTCTCCGAGCTGAGGATGTGCGGCAACTGTGCGTGTTCGATCATCACTGTCTCCGCAGGATTGCTTGCGTTCAGTGGCATCATCGCGTGGGTAATTCTCAGGTTCGGCGGCGTGTGTTTGAACACAGTGGAGATCACCATTCATTAAGTGTTGTCATTTAGAAACATCGGCTCCGGTGGCTTGGACATGTGCTGCGAATGTCATCCCAAGGGCTTCCGTATAGGTCTCTGTTCGCTAGCATTGGGACAGGATGGAAAAGGCGGAGGAGTGGTCAGTCCATGACGTGGCGTTGTGGGATGAAGGATTTTTGTGCTGGATTAGCATCGGTTGGTGTGTCACGACTCACTGGTTGGGGTCCGCGAAATAGCTCAAGTCGATGGCTCGAAACGTTATCGGATATGTCCAAGAATCGTAATCAATGGCGAACGTGTTGCAATTTCCTTCTTTCTTCCTTTCTCGATGATAGTTAACGAATACTGTTTGAACTTGTTAAGCACGGCTGTTTTCCTTCCAGATGAAGTTCTTTATCCGTTCTCTACTTATATATATTTTTTTCTCTTCTTTTTTTCTTTTAATCTATGTTATTTTACTATTATTGTGTGGCGCATCCTTCTTGGTGCCATATTGTACCAAGATTTTATGCATTTAAATAAATAAATAAATGACTACTCTACAGGCAACTTCCTTAGTTGGACGGATGAAATCTTCACTCTCGAAGAAAGATTTAGACTTACGTTATGGTTCAGTAACTCCATGCAACTGTTACAGTCAGTACCCTCACAAGACCTTACAGCATCAGTGAAAGTAATAGAGATTGAAGAACACCCAAGTGAACACATCTTAGGTTTGCCATGGGTCACAATGGAAGATTCTCTTGTTTACGAAATCCATATACCTGATTAGCTTATTACAAGGCGTGGATTTGCGTCAGTAGTAGCCTCAATGTATGGCCCTTTTAGTATGGTCGTTTTTAGCATCACTAGTCTTTCCTGTTAAACAAATGCTAAAATCATTATACGAGTTTGGCTTGGGTTTAGATGACGAAATACCTAAGAAAGAAAGCTGCATCTGAATCAGATTTCTGCTTAATTTTGAAGTCGTCGTGGACGTACCGTTCCTGATCGCAGCCGTCTCTGCGTCCCATATGAGTTTTTGTTATGACCAGAAATGGATGTTAGTGTTTAAGAGGCGTAATCGATTTAAACATTCGTGAATCACCGAGTCCAGACAATTCAAAGTTTTCTTGGCCGAAGTATGTGCCCTTTAAAAAGAAAATTTCAAATTTTGTACCTCGTGGGTTAGTAATATGTTTATTCCAGTCCATTTAGGAAAACACCAACTGTAAGGGCATCGATTCCTATTCAAGGACGAATATCTTGGAATGTTGCTCGACGGTCTTTCATTCCTAAGTAGTCCTAAAGCTGAATGGCGTCAGGTTTAACCATGGAGCCGTATGACAGTCGAGTAGAGATAAAGTAAATAGCTATTGTAAATCTAAACTTCAGTAAATTTGGCTTGAATTGAACTCTATGTTACTTTTTTCACTGCACCAGGCTTTTGGAGACAATATCTCAGTTGTCTCAATTAAAATGCTATCTTCTCATAATGCGTTTTAACAGAGTTGATACATCTCTTAATTTGAACCAGCTAAAGGTAGGTGAGCTTAACGCGCTTGTTCGGACATTCTAAGAATGGTTAGGGCGGTAGAATTTAACAAGGAACTTTTAGTGTTAATGGTAGTTCAGGAGTACGAA